TTGGCGCGTTCGGCCCCCCTAGTACCCTTCGAAGCCGTCGGCGCTGACCTGTAAGTTGTTCGGCGCGTTCGGCGCCCTGCTTGGAGTGTCCGGAGCGCGGTGGATTGGAAGCTAAGTGCGGAGCTCCCGCGTCGCCCAACGCCTGCGAAACAATGCGTGCCCAATCGCGATCCGGCGACTGCCCCCCTCGTTGAAACTGGGTCCATTCCTCAATATTTGCGGCGCTGCGTTGCTCCATCTGCCGAGGGGAATCCGCTCGATGAGCTCCGTGTTTGAAACCATCCATCAGCGCGTCGAGATTCCATCGGCGAGGACATTGCAGAACGCTCAACCGAATCTGATCCACAACAGTGGAGTTTGTCCGAAAATGTCCGACTGAGAAGGCCATGTTGGCATATGCTGGAACGTGGCCCCGAGGAAGTCGCGATGCAACCGCCTGAAGTGATGCGCCCATGCGTCTAAGCGGTTCTGCCGTGCGAGCCGCCGAGGGTGCGCAGCGAGGAACGATGCTGTAGTCCAGCTGAATGCCGTTGCCGCACTACCACCCCTTGGACTTAAAAGTGGTGACCGGCACTATGCGAGGGAACAACCCCTGGGTCTCCGCCAATCGATAAAACCTCAGGCCTCGACCTTCGGACGATCCCGAGATGACTTCCAGACAGACTCGTGGCCCACAGGAAGAACGGCGACGCAGGGGTGGAAGAGACGCGCGGTTGTTAGGAAAGCCCAAACGAAGTCGCCACTCTCTGGCGGCGTGAAAAGCGGCCGGGAAATACCCTGTGAGGAATTATCCGGCGATGTCGCCACTCTCAAGCGGCACGACGATCGATCTCAATTGTTGTCGGAGGAGTCCCACGCGGAATCGCCACTTTCAGATACTGTGGCAAATGTTTGAATCGCCATGGAAGGCGATCTGAAAGTTGTTATTGAGGAAGTCTCGGGCGGAATCGCATTTCAGACGCTGACCCTGCTTGGCCGTTCAAATTTTCAAAAGGGCGAGAGATGCATCTGGCATTCCCAAATCGGACCCAACTCCAACATTGTCCCGGGGCCCCGTGGCCTAACGGGAGGCCAACCGTGTCTTTCTCGATTCCCACGGTCTCCACTTTTTCATCCAGCGGGCTGTAGGTGGGGCCGTCACCAATATACGCGTTGAGTGCCGCAAGTAATCAAGCATTGCTATGACAGGGAAAGATACTTCAGCTGAGAAGCGTTGCCAAACTGAATCGTGATGCGGGCCAAACTGAAGCCATGTCACAGGGCGCCACAAACCTGCGCGCCTTCCAATGTGGTGGGCCCCAAGCCAATGCTGAAATCTGCACATGCGCTGGAACAACATGTGTGAAGCCCCCGACGACGTAGCGTCCGCAACCGCTTCGTGATTGAATCACTGGTCTGGCCGTGTGCCTTGAATGCACTGGCAGTTGACAGGGCAGGGGGGAAATATAATAACACCGCTGCAATGCCATGGTTGTACTCCCCGCTCAAGGGGCACGTCCTCGGCAACCCGCTGACGCACCCCATGTCTGCACGACTGAAATGCGTCGTATGTTTGGTGCCCAAAAAATTGCAAACCCGCAAGACGTGTTGCTGCGAGGAGACCTTGCCCACCCTGAATGCAAACCCCATCTCTCGCCTGCGTTGCGCGACGCGGCTAATCGTGCTTCACCGGGGCGCTTGATTGCCGTGCCGTTCAGAGACGAGAAATCCACATTGGCCGTGAGGTCAGCGATTTCGTGCACACCATCGGAGGTGCGGGCGTTTTTGGGATTGAACTGAAGGGTGCTGAAAATTTGCATGACTCCTCGGCGCCGAAGACGTTGAACGGGTGGCCGATGTTGCACTTGTCTCTGTGACGCCCACAACTGAATGAAACAGGGGTGCCAGGAGAGACGCGCTGCTTCGACTGAGCGAACGCCGAAGAGGTAGCAATGGGGCTTACACCCGTGTGCTACAGTAACAGAATGTGTGCCAACCTTGGGGAACCGACGCTTGATGATAGGAAGGAGGGGGAGGAGGATCATCAGCAGCAACAGGAGCAGGATCAAACGGGCGGACCGGGGGGCTGCAGGAGGCCCAGGGGAACGCGGAGGAGGGGACACGAGGGGGGCGGCAACGACGGCGAAAGAACTGGATACTGCAATGTGGCTCTTGCTGGGGCAGGCGCCCAAGTCTGCAGCGGGAGCGCTTTTGACCGACCGGAGACAAGCAGATCGGATAAACACTGTACGATTTCTTCGGAAGAGGCGCCCCCGACACTACCAGGGGAGAGAGGGGACCAGCAGCGTGGCCCGACTGGATAATCATGAGCGGGACGGGCGGGGTGCGGGGGTTGAGGGGAGGGAGGTCTGGCGGCGAGAGGAGGGGAGGAGAGGACATAGGGGGAGCAGTGAAAGGGGGGGGGGGCGAGGGAGAGGAAGGGGGAAAAGGACGGATATGAGGAGAGGCCGGGGGACTGGAGGGGGATGGAGGGAAGCAGGGGCCTACGACTTGCAAGGAGACGCGTCGCCTTCGGAAAGGTAAGCTTCCAGGTGCACGGTCTCGTGCTCACTCCACGCAAGCTCTGGGCGGCACGCCCCCTGGGTGACGCCCCCTAAGTGACGCTGTGACCAAGAACTAGCTTTCAGACTGCGCTGGTGGGTGGCCTCGGGTGTGTTGCGCACTGCATGGCTCAGCCCTTCAGCGCCCGTAGTGCAGCCATCGTGCTAAAATAAGGAACGCTAAATAGGAAACGAAAGGGTCTTATGGCCACGGCGAGCCTATGCAACCAACAGGCCACCCGATCTGAATCTGAGCGGACCGAAAACCAGAGCGCCTTCTGAACTCTGAGCGCAGTGGCCCATGCCTCAACGCTGTGACTGTGCCCGCAGTAAATACGGAAGTCAGTCTGGTTGGGTGGAGGGGCCAGACCGGGGCGAACTGAGACTGCGGCGGCTGGACATCGGTCCCCGGGAAACCTGGGGTCAGGTCGGGCATGTCCCCCTGCGGGCGGATGTTGGACGAAAAATTTACAATATTCATCAAAGATGCAAAACAAAAATGTCCAACAATCGTCCCCCGATTATTTTGGGACTATGTTTATGTTGCTCCCGTTGTACTTAAGGACCACATCCCAGGAGTAATTTCGAGCGCCCGGAAAGGTGCCGAAAGAGTGTCGGCAGGGTGTCGAAACGGTGTCGGACGAGTGTCTCCCAGGGCCCGACACGTGAAAACCCTCGAGTTTCGTTTTCTTTTGGGGGGGGGCTCGCAATTCTTGTTGGCGATCAAAGCGAAAGAAGTAGGTTGGAGCATCAAAAAGACTATGTTTGAACACTCCTTCTGTAGAGGGACGGGGCCCGCCGACAAAAACCCGGGGGCCCCGGAGCGCGACCCGGCCGCGGCGACGCAGGGCCCCCCCCCTCTCGGGCCAGCTGCCGCTGCCTCCGCTCGCCCTCCTCTCCGAAGAGGGGGGACGTTGCAGGGGCCCTGGGACACACAAGTAAAGACACACGCGCGAAAACACACACACACACACACGAATCACAGGATTCCCCCCACGTATTTTCCCATCTTTTCTGGGTTTCCGTCTTCCCCCCCCACTTCCCCTATGTTCCCATCTTTTCTGGGGAGGCGACGATTCCTTGTGTCTGTGTGTATTTTCTCCCCTCCTGCGTCTCCGCCCGCCTTCCTCCGAGGGGGGGGGGGTGGGCGGGCGCCCCCCCTGCTCCGCGGCCCCCGAATGGTGGCGGGGCCCATCCACTCGGAGACGTCCGCCGGGTCCCGGCGGTGGCCCCCGTACCAGTCCTCGATGGCCACGAGCACGGCCTGCATCACCTCGCTGCCGGCCTCCGCCGCGAGGAGGGCGTTGAGGACCCCGCCGTCCGCGCCAACCGGGCGCGCCGATGAGGCGGGCCCAGGGCCCCCCGTCGTCGTCGTCGTCGTCGTCGTCGTCGTCGTCGTCGTCGTCGTCGTCGTCGTCGTCGTCGTCGTCGTCGTCGTCGACGTCGACGCCATGAGTCAGGGAGACGTAAGACTCGGGTACGTGGGACTCGAATTGGCTGGACGCGGCCATCATGAAAATGACGAGACCCAGTCTGAAATCTGACGCGAGCTCCCGCTGCAAACATACTACGAAAACCGAACCGTCAAAATCCAGGATGCGCTCGTCAAAAAGCGTCGGCTAACCCGAATTCCGGCTTACTCGATTACGTCTCCCCGACTGAGACCTGGGCCCTGCGATTTTGTTCACGCTGGGCGTGTTCGCCTGGCTTCGGGCCCTCAGGGCCAGCACAGGTCTGTCCAGCTCGAGGCATGCCGCAGACAGATCTGGCGGCGCGCACAAAAAGGGGTGGAGGGAGGAGGGGGGGGGGCTTCTCAGAAAGAGGCTGCTTCCTAGAAGGCGCCGGCCTTACACCTATAGAGAAGGCCGCGCCCTCTAAGAAGCAGGGGTGCTTCCAAGAAGCCCTCCCCCCTCCTCCTCTTCCTCCTCCTCCTCCTCCTCCTCCTCCTCCTCCTCCCCCTCCTCCTCCTCCTCCCCCTCCTCCTCCTCCCCCTCCCCCCACCCCCCCCGCTGCGCGCGGCCGACAGGTGGGGCCCAGGGCTCTGGTCGCGACTCTTTCCGCGAGGCTGCACCACCTTCCGCGGCGCGTCGGGCCTCGGGGCATGTGCCCGGGCGAGAAGGGGCAGGGCACGCGCCGGAAGACGGAGAAGGAGAAGGATAACAATAATAATGACAAGAGAAGAAGGAGAAGAAGAATAATAATAATAATAAGAAGAAGAAGGAGAAGAAGGATAAGAAGAGAAAATACTAAGACACATAAGAAGACGAAGGCGAAGAGAAGGAAGGCGGAAACGAAGGCGAAGAAGAAGGAGAAGAAGAAGCACAAGCAGAACAAGGAAACGAAGGCAAAGAAGACCAATCGTGATGAATAACAAGGCTGAGGAGGCAAACGAGAGGGGGCCACGAGATCTGGGAGATCTCGACGCCCCGGCCACGATACCCACCCATCCCCCGGCAGCCCTCATCCTGCCTCTTGGGCCTTGGGCGCCCCCGGGCTGAGCGCGGACACGAAGGTGGTGGCATTGTCCACCATCTGCGAGAAGGGCACGCGCATCTGCACGTCCAGGTCCACGTAGAAACCGCCCTCGAGCGCCAGCACCGCCGACCTGCAGATGTCCCCCCGGAAGCTCCCGCGGCGCTCGCCGAGGAACGCGGAGAGGAGCCCGCTCCCGAAGTTGGCGCGGATGAAGTCGCCGCAGGCCTCCGTCGGGGCGGGTGAAAACCCAGACCCCCGACGTCATGATTTGTTCATGACGCGACCCCAGAGGTCTGGACCCATTCCACGGGACTGGTTTTTCATTCTGAGTCGTTTCTTGACGGCCCCGAGGCCTGGCAAGGGCCCCCAGAGGGCGAAACTACGGAAAAACCTCCCGTCGTGTTTTTTTCATGACGCGTGGGGGTCTGGGAAGCCGGGGGGGGGGGGGGCAGTTGCGCAGTGTGGGAGAGTTGGCGGGTCAGCTCACGGAGCTGATGATCCCGGCGCCGGAGGCGCCAGTAAGCACCAAGGAGTGCGCGCCCAGCGGCGGAGGCGAGAAACCATGTGCGCGCAGCAGCTTTCGCAGCCCCTTTCCTTTCCCCCTCCCCTCTTTCGCCCGACTTGACTCTCGAGAGGCAGGAGACCAGCGCAAAGGTAAACGTTCGGTGATGGGCCCGTTTTCCACCACCACCACCACCATAAGTTGGAGGGGGAGGGGGTCCTCCTCCTCCTCCTCCTCCTCTTCTTCTTCGTCCTCCTCCTCGTCCTCCACCTCCTGCCCCCCTCGAAATTATGGTGGCGGTGGTGGTGGGAAACAGGCCCATCATCCGGAGGTCCGCGCGGACTTCTTGGATCGGCGCTTCTCATTTTCGGCAGCGATGGCCCTGAAAACAGCCGAAGCCAATTCAGTGCTGGGGAGTCGGCAACCTGTCCTGCCACACGACAGTCTCCGCCCTCTCCTCCCGGGTAAAGCGAAGACCCTGGCGGTGAAGGGAGGGGGAGCGGCGGGATGAGGAGGAAGATGAGAGGGCCCAGGGACACACAAAGAAATTGGCACGAATCGCAGGACCGCTCATATTTTACAACATTTTCTAGACGTTCGCGTCTTACCCTCCACTTCACATAGTTTCCACATATTTCGTGGGAGTCGACGATGGGTATGTGATTTCTCCCTTCCTGAGACGGGGAGGCAGAAAGCACGGGTCTTTGGATCTTAGCTGGCCCGATGCGCGACACGCCACACGTAGCGTGCAGGGCTGGACCTAAGCGTTGTTTTTCGGTTTGTGTTCGTTTTGATACTCGTTTTGCTCTACCTGTTTTCCTGCACCTCTCGGCCAAAACGAAAAACATAACACAGCCGAAGTCCAACAAAACAGCGTTCAGGTCCAGCCCTGGCAGCGTGTTGGCACGGAGCTCAACTCGCAGACTGAGCACCCACGCTTGGCGCGACACTCTCGCCCAAATGTGGGCCCACACGTGGAGCCCACACGCAGCGTGCTCCCACGGACGCTCTGCACACGGCACGGGGGAGGAGGAGGAGCGAGGAAGAGGAGGAGGCGGAGGAGGACGAGGAGGAGCGAGGAGGATGAGGATGAAGATGAGGATGATGATGAGGATGAGGAGGAGGAGGAGGAGGAGGAGGAGGAGGAGGAGCGAGGAGAGGAGCGAGGAGGAGGAGCGAGGAGGAGGAGGAGGAGGAGATCGGGAGGGAGAGAGGGAGGGAGGGGGGAGGGAGGAGGCAAAGGAGGAAAAGGGGGAAAAGGAGGATGAGGAGGAGAAGGAGGAGGAGGTCTTGCGTCCCAACAGCGGGCGCATCAGGGCAGGGAAACTGTGTGGAGACGAAGTGCCACCGCTCCTTGGGTCGGCGCGCCGGGCAACCTCTTCCCTCGGGGGACACCAGGAAGGAGTACCTGTTGGTTTCCCCAAGGGGAGAGGAGGAGGCGAAGGAGGAGGAGGAGGAGCGAGGAGGAGGAGGAGGAGGAGGAGGAGGAGGAGGAGGAGGAGGAGGAGGAGCGAGGAGGAGGAGGAGCGAGGACGATGAGCAGGAGGAGGAGGAGGAGAACGCGAGGGAAGGGTAGCGGAATGGGCATCCTCCTTGGACCCCTGGCGCGCGGAGCGCGCCAGGGGGAAGGGCGCCGGAGGCCCTGCTGGGGGGGGCCCCCCAGAGCCGAGGCAAGAGACACGCGCGGACCTCCGAACATGTCGATGCTTACAGCAGGTTCGTGTCGTGACGACCCGGGCGCTAGTCTCGGACACCGTGCGGGCCATGTGAACATCTTCTTCTTCGGCGTCTCGACGTTGTGCGGAAGGGGGGAGGGGGACGGGGGGGGGGTCTGGCTCTGGACCTCTGCTGAGTGCGACTGCTTACGCCAGTGCGTCCTGTGGGGGAGATTCCGCCTGCTCGAAAAGAGGCACCCCGAACAGCCAGGATCTACTCCATTTGGGGGGAAGTGCGAGGGCCTGCGCCGATCGGCACAACAATGAAGAAAAACGATCACGATGATAAGATGATGGTGAAAGTGGAGCACCCGAACTCTGGAGTAACCCCACAAGGAAGAGAAATCAGACTCCGGCACCTTGACCATCCTGAGGACGGTCGTGGTCAAGAGGATGTAGCCTTTCAGCCATGCCGGTGCCCAAAACTACCATCGCCATCGACGGCCTCCCGATCGCCCGATCGTTTCACGAGCCGGCTCTGGGCCACTGGCCGCTCTCAGCCTCGAGCGTCCGCGGCGAGGTCGCCGCCGCGCCGGCACGACACGGACCCGTCGTGCGGGGGCTGCTCTGGGAGCCTCGTCGCCGAGCCACCGCACCCGCATGTCCGGGTTCAGCGCCAGCGTCCGCCGCACGTTCTGCTGCACCGCCCCGGGCATCTCCTCCAAGGTCGCGTGCTTCGCGGTCATCACCTCGCGGCGCGGCTTCGTGGGGGCCCGGCCCAGGCTCGCAGGCCGGCCGCTGCCCATATCGCTGTCTGGCAATTTGGGATCAGGAGCTCCGAGTTCGTCGGGGGGGCGGTCGACGCAGAGCCGAGGTCGCTGAAATCACCGTTTTCAGCACTGGCGAAACATACCACTAACTGCGATAAGTCTTTCGCGAGCCCCCCCCATCGTGAAAACGGTTAATCTTTTCGACGCCCTTATTGACTGAATGGGGCCCCACCAGCAATGGAAACTGTTTATTTTATCCGCGGCACCCGCCGCACAACAACGGCGACGACGACGAGATGAAAGATGAGATTGTGAATAACGCCTTCGGCGAATAATGTGTCGATCTCGATTGCAATCCTCGCACAGACGTTCTCAACATTCCTCTGCCGCACAAGGCAGCCCACGGGGCGCTAGTCCCTGGGAGAAAGAAACCCCCAACTTCATCCAGCGCGGCGACGCCGACGACGACGACTACGATTACGACTACACTCGCGATCCCAATCACAATTACAACCACGACTTCAATCACGGCCACAACTACAACCACTGATCCACATTGCCACCCCCATGAGAAGATGCTCACACATCCTCTCACGTGTCCACAATGGGTGATTCCCTGGGAGAGAGAGAACCAAGAAACGGAACTCAAATATGAAGCCGTGAAATGGTTAGTGGTTAGTAGTAGTAGTAGTAGTAGTAGTAGTAGTAGTAGTAGTAGTAGTAGAAGTAGTAGTAGTAGTAGTAGTAGAAGTAGTAGTAGTAGTAGTAGTAGTAGTAGTATTAGTAAGTAGTAGTAGTATAGTAGTAGTAAAAAGTCAGTAGTCCGATAGTCCGTAGTTCTAGTCGTAGTAGTAGAGTCAGTAGTATTAGTAGTATCGTAATGCATTAGTACGCAGTATGTAAAGCAGTCGTAGTAGTAGTTAGTATTAGTAGCAGTAGCAGTAGCAGTATCAGTAGCAGTAGCAGTAGCGAAGTAGCGAGTAAACCAAGTAGCAGTATTAGTACAGTAGTATAGTAGTAGTAGTAGTAGTGGTGTAGTAGTAGTATTAGTTGTAGTCGTGGTGGTGGTGGTGGTAGTAGTCGTAGTATTGGACGTGGTCGTAGTAGAGTCGTAGTAGTAGTAAAGTAAAAAAACAAAGTTACAAGTTAGTAGTAGTAGTCAGTAGTAGTAGTAATAGCAGTATCAGTAGTATAGTAGTAGGTAGTAGTCGTATATTAGTAGTAGTAGTAGTAACTACTACTACTAGTAGTTCCTGAACTAGTAAGTGTAAAAGTTATAGACAAGTAGTAGTCAGTAGTATAAGTAGTGTAGCAGTAGTAGTAGTAGTATCGTCGTCGTAGTAGTAGTAGTCGGAGTAGTAGTATTAGTCGTAGGTCGTAGTTCGTATGTCGTAGCAGGTAGTAGCAGCAGACAGTAGTAGTAGTAGTAATAGTAGTAGTAAGTAGTAGTATATTTAGTAAGTAGTAGTCGTGTAGTCGTAGTGGTGGTAGTAAGTAATTAGTCGTAGTAGTAGTAGTATAGTAGCCGGTAGTAGTAGTAGAAGTAGTAGTATTAGTAGTCGTAGTAGTAGTAGTAGTAGTAGTAGTAGTAGTAGTAGTAGTAGTAGTAGTAGTAGTAGTAGTAGTATTATAGTAGTAGTAGTAGTAGTAGTAGTAGTAGTAGTAGTAGTAGTAGTAGTAGTAGTAGTAGTAGTAGTAGTACTGGTGGTAGTCGTAGTGGTAGTAGTAGTAGTAGTAGTAGTAATCGTTGTCATAGACGTAATAGTAAGAGAAAACGGACATCCTCCTCCTCCTCCTCCTGCTCCTCCTCCTCTCTCTCTGTCTCTCTGTATGTCTCTCGGCGGCAAGCGCGCGAGCCCAGGGGGGGGGGGGGGGAGAGGGAGGGGGACTGGCCTTCGCAGAAGGCGGCGGGGCTTCCGAGGAGCCCTCCCCGGCCTGCTGGGAAGCCGCCTGCCCTGGACGCCCGAGTGCCCAACGGCAAGCGTGGCCCAAAACCAACAGCGGCCACCAGAAGAAACACAAAACGGCATAACCATAAACTTTTGGCGCTCCGCGCGGATTTCTTGGATCTGCGCTGGGCTCCCCTCCCTGGCGCGCGGAGCGCGCCAGGGGCGGCGCCGGAGGCGCCGCCTGGGGGCCCAGCGCGGATCCAATAAATTCGCGCGTAGCGGCAAAAGTTTATGGTTATGCCGTTTCTCTTTTTCGAGGCCACTGTTGGGCAGGCAACCTTTTGCCTCAAGTGGGCAACTCCCGCGGCGGCACCCGACAGCGAGTCCTGCTCAAAGTTGGCAGGAACTGCTGTCAGCCTTCGCCCCGAATCCTTCGAGAAGAGGATCGACTACAGAATTGATGCACTCCAAATTTGGTTTCCCCGCTGATTGTACAACACGTGCGTAGAACGCTCCGTACATCGACGGAGCATCCGACGTGTCTTTCGCGAAAACTCGGCGGGGAATTCAAGTCTAGGGTGAATCAGTTCTGTAGTCGATCCCCTACTCGAATTTTGTTCCGCACCCACCTCGATCGTACCAATCTGTGGCTGCGGAGCAGGCCTGTGCAGGGCTTCTCGGCAGGCGCGGGGACCCCCGAGAAGGCCTTGCAGGGCCCCCCAGGATCCTGCAGAAGATCCCGTATACCCAAGCCCGAGTCATGCAAACGCCCGAAATGGGTACGGAAGCAATGGGCACACTGCCCAACAACAAACTTTGTCCAAGACCGGCAACGGCCGCTGTTAGGCAGGCTGACTTCTGCCTCCAAAGAATCACGTCCGCGGCGGCGCGAACAGCGAGTCCTGCTCAAAATGAGCAAGCACCACTCCTTCCGTGCCCATTTCGATCGCCCCGAGCTCAGTGCGACCCTGGCCCTGCAGGGTCCTGCAAGACCCGGCGCTCCGACGGGCCCCCGCCGGCCATCGATTCCAGCATCGACCTCTGTGAGCCCCGCCGCGGGCCCTGAGGGCCACGCGCAACCGGTACCCCCGAGGCCTTCCCCCCGGGGCCAGCTCCTCGTCTCGAGGCGCCCTCGACGGCCCCGCGGCCCTGGGAGGGCCCCAAGAAGCCCCCCCTCCTCCTCCTCCTCCTCCTCCTCCTCCTCCTCCTCCTCCTCCTCCTCCTCCTCCTCCTCCTCCTCCTCCTCCTCCTCCTCCTCCTCCTCCTCCCCACACCCGCCGACGGGGAGAGAACCCTGCAGGGGCCCGCTCCGCCCAGGGCCCGCAGCGATCGCCGGACGGCCCCCCGGCCCTGGGAGGGCCCCGAGAGCCCCCCCCCGGCTCCCCCCCCAACGGAGAACACCCTCGGGGCCCGCTTCGCCTACAAGCCTCGCCACAAATATCCAGACATGGAAGTTGAGATCCTGGAGCACGATGCATTCGAGCACTTGTCAGAAGGCGCGTTCTTCAATGCTGACCGGGTGGGGTCGGTTTTTGGAACAACGCCGCGTCCGAGTCAACAGACATCCGTCAGCATTGGGGTAGCGCTGACCCCACAATCACCGAATGCAGAAGTTTTCTGTTTATTTTTGACGAGGCTTGTAGGACCCGCTTCCTCCCTGGCGGGCACGATGTATATGCATGTCCGCTGCGTCTTGGACTTTCTGCGCAGGGGCGCCAACAGGCCGCGGCGCAGTGGCTCTGTTTCCAAAAACCGGACCTCCAGGGGCGGAGCTGTTCTATCCACATCCACGGCGCCCCTGGCATCGGAGGAAGGGAGCCCGAAACTCCAAGACGCAGTGGGTATGGACAAACATCTGGCCCGCGCCCCTGACGATCGTCGCAGCGGGTCGCCAGCTGCCGCGGTATGACCCGCCCGGCGTCCCCCGCCGACGCCTCCGCAGGTCGCGCGGGCGTGGGCTGGCCCACCACGTCGTGCTGTGCGGGCCCGCGCAGGGTACCCTCCTGCTGAGCAGGGGCCGACCGTCCGGGCACTCCAAAAGGCCTTCCACGAGATGCTCTTCGAAACCAGACGTGTTCTAAGAACAAAAGCAATGCTCTTAGGACATACGCCCGACGTGTGAAAACACGACGGCCTCAGCCAGACATGGTCTGAGGACACTTCGTGCAGACCGCAAGCGGTTCGCAGAAAATTCGTCGGTGGGCCCACAGGCAAGCCGGGACGCTTCGCCACTGCTCGATCCTGGTGCACGACGCGGCCGCCGGACTCGAGGCCGAAGGGAGCATCGAAGGCTGCCAGGTCTGAGCGGCAAGGCTTCGGGCTGCGCGCGCGGACGGACACCCCCGACGGGGCTGCCCCGGCAGGCCTCGGCAGGCCCCTCCTCCTCCTCCTCCTCCTCCTCCTCCTCCTCCTCCTCCTCCTCCTCCTCCTCCTCCTCCTCCTCCCCCCCCCCTCCCCGCGCCGCGAGGGGGGCGACCTCTCACAGCTCGGGGACGTGCCGACCGACCTGGCTCTGCGCTGAAGTCGGGCGTGTCCCTCCACAGGCGGAAAATTCAAAAATAGTCCAGAAATCACCTGGGGATGAGTCTGGGGACGAATGTTCCAATGTTTTTGAGTATATCTGGAAGTATGTTTCGACTAGTTTCAAGTGTTCGCTCCAAATCCGCCTGTAGGGGGGACATGCCCGACCTAATTCTGCGCGAGCCTAGGCCGGCCGGCGCCACGTCGCGAGCCCCTCTGGGCGCTCAGCAGCTCCCCCAGACCCCGTCACCCGCATTGCTGGTTGGGGTCCATCTGTGCCTTTTTCATGTTCCCCGGCACCCCCCCCCGCACTGGGAATGGAGGGCACATGGTAGGGAACCGAACTCTATACACCGACGCCTTTGTCTGGCCTCACACTGAACCTCGCACAAGAAAGCGGATCCTGGTGTATACGGGATCCTGGTGTATACATTCTTCGTTGTTTCCCCCCGGAAAACGGGTGAAACAAGTATACACCACACCACCCCGACGTCGTCCCCGACTCTCAAAAAAGTCCTGGGATTGAGAAACTGCCCGCCATTGGTAATGTATATGCTCCAGTTTCCGACATGGGGGCCTTCGGGTTGGGTTGGTGTGCGTTGGTGGGTGGCGAGGCTGCTGCAGCGAAGGGCCGCTCTCACGCGGAGCCGATCGCGCCGCCTCTGTGGCTGCTCACGTTCGGAGGGGAGGGCAGGAGAGCCCAGAATCGAATCGACGAGTCGGATCGGCGATCGACATGAATCGGATCGGCGGACATCGGCAGCCTGGTCGGGAAAAGTCGAGCCGGCGGAAATCGGCAGGAAGCCAGTATGCATCCAATGAGAAATCCGAAACCACACCGGACTCCGAAGCCGAATCGAATCGGCATCGGCAGCCACGGCAGTCGAAGCGAATCGAATCGGAGGCATCGGAGTAAGCCCTGGGAGGGGGGGCCCCGCGTGGCTCCCGACCTCGGGCCTGCCAGGGGGTATCGGAAGGGCCTGGCCGACCCCGTAGCCTCACGTCGAGCATGCCCTCCCACAGGCGGAGCCTGGACGCAAAGCAAGAGATGCGCAACACGAAACATCCCCAAACAGTCAAAGATAGCAGAAACACCGTCCCTCGAGTCAAAGAAAAAATGGCCTAGAAAATACCCCCAAAGAGTCAAAGATAGAACATGCTTGCGATATTGTGGAGCACTCCTCCCGTGGAGGGCCAGGCCCGACTTCACCGTCGCCGTGCGCCCCGCGCCGCCTCCATGCAGCGCCCCCCTGGGGCGCTGCACGGGGCGGCGGGGAGGCGGCCGCGGGCTGCCCGGGGGGGGGGGGCCCTGCGCGGGCCCCCGCAGGGGCCAGCGTCGGAGGGCTCCGTCGCCGCGCAGCCCCAGGCCTTGGCCGCGTCTGGAGGCGAGAGTGCGGCGGGCTCCAGCGGCGGGAGGTCGCCCGCGGCCCCGCGCCCGCGCTTGTCGATCAGGGCGTGCGCGAGTCCTGCTGGCGCAGTGAGGATGACGCAGGTGCTGAACGCGAGGACACGACGTGGGACCACTCCCGCGCACATTGCTGCGCGCCTTGATCCACATCGGCCGCGGAATGCGGCATCATGAACTGCGTGCGCGGTCACGCCCAGCCAGAGCACAGAAACCGATATGCGCAGGACGGTGCGCCCAGCTCATGGCGAGCAAGTCCACTCTGCCAGCGTCTTGCGACCTCCGTCTCATGTGTCACTTCACTTCGCTTCTTCCAACCATCTCAAATGAACTGCGCTGCGAGTGTAACGACAAGTTGCTCTGTGTAACACCGTCTACTTCTTCTCATGCTATATCCGCTGCCAACTTCCGCAGGGAGGCAGTGCGAAGTTGCAGACCCAGGCATATTCCGAGGATGTCCCGAGCGCCCCGACCCCAACCAGGCTCAATCCACTGTCCTTCGCCAACATAGCGCAACGGGGTGGATGACCCCATGGAATCCTCCCGCAAGGAATCCTATCATCTACTTGTATTGTGTGTTTGTTTTGGGGGGGAAGCGACAGCGGCTTGGGCGCAACAGAAGTGCCTGCGGTCGGGGCGCAACAGCGGGCGTCGGTGTCGCGCCTCCTCCACACCGGGGCCCGCGGAGGCTTCAAGACGATCTCCGCCACACTGGGGCTGGCACTTGGGGAGGAGGAGGAGGAGGAGGAGGAGGAGGAGGAGGAGGAGGAGGAGGAGGAGGAGGAGCGCTCGTCTTCCGACTGACCTGCGGGCGTCGGTGTCGCGCTCGGGAAAATGTGCACCCCCCGAGGCTGCATGCAGGGGGCTCGCCACCTCCTCGAGGACGGCCCTTCCCCACAAGCCTCGCTCCTCGATCCTCCTCGATCCTCGATCCTCGAGCACGACCTCCCAAGATTGCCCCCCCCCCCCCCCCACCCATCCAGAAGCCTCGATCCTCGACCCTGACCTCAGGAAGAGTTGGCGATCCCCCTGGCAATGGCCCGCCCTTTTTGCGGAGAGGCCTCCCACACGAAGCCACAGTCGATGGGATCGGCGGATCCCGGGGCAGCGCCGATGCATCGCCAATGCGCGGGCGACGTCGAGACGCGTCGAACATCGGACTCCGGATCGCACAGCATCGTAGATGCATCGCCTGTGCGACGCGATCCGCCGACCGCATCCGAACTGGCCCCATTTTCAGACATCCGTCGGATGTCATATCCGAGTCTGTCTTTTTCACAACGTGGCTCCACCCCTTCGTGAGAACTGACTCTTCGTCCCGATCCGTTTCTTGATGTCTCCGCAGGGTCTGGCGAGGGCACAACAACTAACGCCGTTGCTTAGTTCACGTTAGATCGGGCGTGTCCTCCTACCAGCAGATTCTGGACGAAACCGAAAAAATATACAACAAATACGCCCGAATAGTAGAAACTCATCAGCACATCGGCCCGATTCTATGTTTTTTGTTATTTTTGAGTGTTCCTCCTGTGGAGGGACAGGCCCCCGACTTACGGTTCACGGCGGGAAGACGTTGGGGACTCCAGATCGGGGCCCTCGGTGAGCCCTGCCCCACGAAGCCCCCTAACCCTGCCCGCCGGCGTGCCAGGGGCTGGCTCTCGGTAGGCAGGCACCCAGCAACTGGGATCAGGCTCGTCCAGTCTAATCGGCAATTTGCTTGGTTTTCCCCGAGGGCTGGTGTTTTCTCACCCTCGCCCAGTATGATATAGTCGTCGCTGCGTTCTCGAATGCTTCGCCGTTCTATGCTGGCCTCCTGCGTCCCGGGGCGGTCTCAACACCCCAACCCTGGGGCGCGGAGCGCCCCGCAGAAACGCCGCGGGAGACGGCGCGGAGCGGGTGTCGAGACCGCCCCCGGGCTTCGGGGGGGCATGCCGAGGCCGGGCGGGACTGCCCGGAGGGGCTGCCCGCGAGCAGCCCGGAGCCTCACCAGGCTCAGAACGATGACTACCACTGAAGGGGCCCCAGGACACACAAATGAAATCACACAAAAAAGCAGATTTCCCATATTTTCCTGAAATTTCTGGGTTTTTGTCTTCGCCCCCACTTCCCATATTTTCTTATATTTTCCGGGGAATCGACGATTAATTGTGTCTGTGTGTTTTTTCCCTCCTGAACCACGACTGAACAAGCGCGCTCCAGTGCTCGCACAGCAGCTGCGCATTCGCAGATGGCATGGATCCGCCGCAGAGGGGTTTACGATCCATTCCATCGAGGCAAAGATGTGCTCTTCGGCCGTCTGCGAAGTAGTGGAAAACGCTCGGTGAACGGCTTCCGTCTTGGAACTGCCTGCCTCCGCCGCAGGGCGAGTGGACCACCAGACCGCCGCCGCGCGAGCTGACGAGTAGACCGCCCGAGTGGACCGCCCGACTTGACCGCTCGAGCTGACCGCCTGCGTGAGCCCACCGCCCGATATGATCGGCTACCCGTCAGAGTGACCCCCGCGCAAGCGTGACCTCTGGTGCGCGGTGTTTTGGGATCGTGGCATGCGGTGCAAAAGCAACGGCCTGCGCGCGTGGGTGCAGATCCCCCCTGCGCCCCCCGAAATCCGTCGGGGATCTACTCGCCCGGGTCAATCCAGACCCAGGTCAGTCAAGCTCTGCAGGATCCTGCGAGATCCTGCAGGGTCCTGCAGGATCCTGCCCGAGCCTGGGCCAATGCAACCCTGTCCCTGCAGAATCCTGCAAGATCTGGCGCTCTGGCGGACCCCCGTTTGCACTGACCCCTGCCCCTTGAGGTTCGGAAGCCGCGCACCGAAGGCCATCCCGGCGACGTGCCACTCTCGCGTGTCGCCGAATGGCCGGGTTGACCGCCCTTGTGTTGGGTCGGGCAAGTCCTCCTACAAGCGGCACTTGGAAGAAAAATTCGCCGGCCCAACGGGCCAGGGCGTGCTAAGATCTCCGGTAACTGGTTAACAGTATTAACAGTATTTCTAGTTCGCACGCGCGGGGCGGCCCCTGGGGGTCCCCGGCGAAAAGTACCCCGACCAACGCCCGGTCGCCGCCCGACCGCCGCCCGACCACCGCCCGACCAAGTCTACTCAGAGATGGTTTTCCTTCTGGGTGCGGCCTCTCAGGCTCCCCAGAGCGCGCTCAGAGTGCCCCAAGAGGCCCCCGAGACGCCCAAAGAGCGCTCAAGACGCCGAAGATGACCCCAAGACGGCCCAAAAGGCCCCCAAGACAGCCCAAGAGGCCTCCAAGACGCCCCAAGAGCCTTCCAAGAGGCCTCCGAAGAGAGCCCCAAGAGGCCAAAATCGTTGATTTTCATTGTTTTTTCGATGTTTTTTGTGTTCTGGCTTTTTCGGCTTCCGGACGCTCCAAGACGGCCCAAGAGGCCCCCAAGACCGCTCCAAGACGGCCCACGAAGCTCCCAAGACGGCGCCGAAACGACCCAAGAGAGCCCTCAAGACGGCCCAAGTGCCGCCCAAGACGGACCAAGAGGCCCCAAGACGGGCCCAAGAGGGACTCAGGAGGGATACCGAGAACTCAAAAATGGAGCCCTCCGTCCCAGAAGGCGCCCAGGAGGTCCCAAAGAGGCCCCAAGAGGCCTCCAAGAGGCCCCAAGATGTCGCCAAGAGGCCCCAGGAGACTCCCAGGAGGCCCAAAAGAAGCCCCAGAAGGCTTCAAACATGTCTCCCAGGCGCCCCCGAACGGCCTCTCAACAGACCCCAAGAGGCCCCCCAAAGAAGCATCTTGACGACGACTCTATTTCGCCCCATCGAGAGACGACCCCCAGGGAACTGCTTCACCATCAAAACTCCCCACGCAACGCGTCCGAACGACACCCGCCCCCAAGAGCGCAACATGGGCAACGAACACACAGACAAAAACCAGCGATGCCATATCACGGGCCGGCGGAATGAGCGAAGCGATTCAATTTAAAGTGGTCAAAACATAAAGTGGTCAAGACATAATCAAAAATAGTCGAAAAAAGCAAGCGGCACGCGTGCCATGGCTCTTGCACAGAAAGGACGGGGAAAGAGGCGGAGGGGGCGCGCTGGCTGGTGGATGGGGTGATGGAGGGGGCGCTCGGGATGGGGGGGCGGTGCGTGCCGAAATAAAAAGCGTCAGGGCGGAAGGGGCGCGTTGACTGGTGGATGGGGGGATGCGGAGGGGGCGCTCGGGGGGGGGGGGGCGGTGCCGCGCCGAGATAAAAAAGGGTCGGGCGGGGTGGGGGAATAAGATTGATTACAACCACTTCGGACTGTTCAGGAACTACTTCGGTCGGATTGTAACCACTGGAAACGGACTGATCGCAACCCGAAAGACTCCTATACAAACTTTTCTGAAGAACGCCGGATTGCAACCGATCGAAGAGCTTCTGTTTAGCTTCTGCCAAGCTCTCAGCGAGGCCTTTGAGAGGCCTCTGCGAAGCCTTTTCAGAAGCTTCAGAGATGCATTTCAGAGGCTTCAGAGACGCCTTTTTTTCAAATGCTTTTCTGCAGCCTTTCAGAGGCTTCTCTGATGTCTTCCAGAGGCTTCTCTGCAGCCCTTCAGAAACTTTTCTGAAGCCTTTGAGAAGGTTTCCCTGAAGTCTTTCAGAGGGTTCTCTGAAGCCTTTTCAGAAGCTTCTCTGAGGCCGTTCGGAGGCTTCTCTGAAGCCTTCTTCAGAGGCTTCTCTGAAGCCTCTGAGAGGCTTCTCTGAAGTATTTCATGGGCATCTCTGCAGCCTTTGTTTTCCGAGGCTTCTCTGAGAGGCTTCTCTGAGGCCTCCGACAAGCTTGGTCTCTGGGGGTCGACGTTCCGGTGAAGTCATGACTTCAAGAGGTCTGGGCCGCCGCGTCTACCCGCCTTGCCATCCTGTCACCCTCCTTTTCCTCCTCCTCCTCCTGTTCCTCCTCCTCCTGTTCCTGCTCCTCCTGCTCCTGCCTGCGTCCCCGTAAGGTTTGCGAATCTCTCCAGATATACCAGATCTAACATGATACACGTTTACTACTACTACTACTACTACTACTACTATTACTACTACTACTACTACTACTATTACTACTACTACTACTACTACTAC